AACTGAGCTAAACACTAATTTAAAAACAAGAGGCCCATGGGCCACATCGCTCACCTGAGCCAATTGGCCAGGAAAAAAAGCAAAAATCAGTTCAGTATTGAAAAGTTAACGGGAGAGAGGGGGGTGGGGGGATGGGGGATTTTAAACTACCTAACAATGCTTTCATATCAATATAACAAATGACTTTGCTGTTCTTGAGCAGAAGATTTTTTCCCATATATTCATTTGTAAAAATTTGATCCCCCATTGTGGCCCCACCCTACCCCTGGGGGCGCTCATTTCAACAATTTCATTTTATACTACCCAACGATGCTTCCATATCAATTTGACTAATCATGGCTTTTCTGTTCTTGAGAGAAAGATTTTTTCCTATATATTCCCCTGTAAACTTTGATCACCCATTGTGGCCCCACCCTACCTCCGGGGGTCATGATTTGAACAAACATGAATCTACACTACCTGAGGATGCTTCCATATAAATATGACCAATCAGGGCTTTGCTGTTCTTAAGAAGATTTTTAAAGATATTTTCCTATATATTTCTATGTAAAACTTTGATCCCCCATTGTGGCCCCACCCTACCCCAGGGGGTCATGATTTGAACAAACTTGAATCTACACTACCTGAGGATGCTTCCATATAAATATGACCAATCAGGGCTTTGCTGTTCTTAAGAAGAAGATTTTTAAAGATATTTTCCTATATATTTCTATGTTAAACTTTGATCCCCCATTGTGGCCTCACCCTACCCCCGGGGGTCATGATTTAAAAAACTTGAATCTACACTACCTGAGGATGCTTCCATATAAATATGACCAATCAGGGCTTTGCTGTTCTTAAGAAGAAGATTTTTAAAGATATTTTCCTATATATTTCTATGTAAAACTTTGATCCCCCATTGTGGCCCCACCCTACCCCCGGGGGTCATGATTTGAACAAACTTGAATCTACACTACCTGAGGATGCTTCCATATAAATATGACCAATCAGGGCTTTGCTGTTCTTAAGAAGAAGATTTTTAAAGATATTTTCCTATATATTCCTATGTAAAACTTTGATCCCCCATTGTGGCCCCACCCTATCCCCGGGGGTCATGATTTGAACAAACTTGAATCTACACTACCTGAGGATGCTTCCATATAAATATGACCAATCAGGGCTTTGCTGTTCTTAAGAAGATTTTTAAAGATATTTTCCTATATATTTCTATGTAAAACTTTGATCCCCCATTGTGGCCCCACCCTACCCCAGGGGGTCATGATTTGAACAAACTTGAATCTACACTACCTGAGGATGCTTCCATATAAATATGACCAATCAGGGCTTTGCTGTTCTTAAGAAGAAAATTTTTAAAGATATTTTCCTATATATTTCTATGTTAAACTTTGATCCCCCATTGTGGCCTCACCCTACCCCAGGGGGTCATGATTTAAACAAACTTGAATCTACACTACCTGAGGATGCTTCCATATAAATATGACCAATCAGGGCTTTGCTGTTCTTAAGAAGAAGATTTTTAAAGATATTTTCCTATATATTCCTATGTAAAACTTTGATCCCCCATTGTGGCCCCACCCTACCCCCGGGGGTCATGATTTGAACAAACTTGAATCTACACTACCTGAGGATGCTTCCATATAAATATGACCAATCAGGGCTTTGCTGTTCTTAAGAAGAAGATTTTTAAAGATATTTTCCTATATATTTCTATGTAAAACTTTGATCCCCCATTGTGGCCCCACCCTACCCCCGGGGATCATGATTTGAACAAATTTGAATCTACACTACCTGAGGATGTTTCCACATTAGTTTCATCTTTCCTGGCCCTGTGGTTCTTGAGAAGAAGATTTTTAAATGATGCCATTATTTTGTCACTAATTCCTAATTATCTCCCCTTGAAAGAGGGTGTGGCCCTTTATTTGTATAAACTTGAATCCCCTTCACCCAAGGATACTTTGTGGCAAGTTTGGTTGAATTTGGCCCATTGGTTCTTGAGAAGAAGATGAAAATGTGAAAAGTTTACAACAACAACAATGCCAACGACAACAACGACGACAGACAACGGACAAATTTTGATCAGAAAAGCTCACTTGAGCCTTTGGCTCAGGTGAGCTAAAAAGTGAGGTCAAGGTCAAAAGAAAGGTCAAGGTCAAAAAATGTTGATGCAGTTGAATAGCTCTCATCAATATCTATCAGCATATGAAGTTTGATAAAAATATCTTGGATAGTTTCTTTGAAACTGAGCTTTGAACAGAGGAAGGACAGACAAAAGGACGGAAGGACAGAAGGACGGAAGGATGGAAGACGGACATGACAAACACTATATGCCCCGGCCATATTCATGGCGGGGCATAAAAAATAAATAAAATATTTTACAAAGGCTTCTGGACGTTTTGCTTAAATACACTTGTATTTTACAATTTTAATACAAAAATATATTTATGTGTCACTTCTATTTTATATGATGATTTATTGAGCAGACTTCTACATGTATCTGTACACATTTCCCCGTGATTATACTTATACAAGACGATACAAAGAGGCATTCATATTATATGTTAAAGATTAAATGTTCAGAACTTGATATTTAAGTAATATGCTGTAATAGTTTTGATTACAAGATATATATATATATATATATATATATATATATATATATATATATATATATATATATATATATATATATATTAGGGATGGCAATCGATTACAGAATTGCTTATCGGTTAACGGCAAGACGTTCCGACCGATTAATCGGTTAATCGTAATATTATACACATTTTTTGACATTCTATTTTTTCAAGTAGCTCTTTCATATACACAAGAAGACTGATATAAAGACGCTAGAAGTTAGGAATATTCTGTTTATTATCTCGATCAGGAAACTTAATATGTACCTATCTTTTATTTCAATTTAAATAGACAAGAAAAATTATAAGAAAAACATGAATTTTGCCTGAGAAAACAGACGCAGATAATTTTCCAGTGCACACACAAGTTCAATCTGCATTGACACCATAATCACAACTATGCCTGAACTTTCACTGTCCAATCTTTTCTTATACTATATTTTAAAAGGTAACGGCAAAAGAAAGGCAAACTAATTAGCTCTACGTTGTTTTATTCAATATCATTAAAGGATTACAGTATAGTCTGGTTAAACGATTTGATGTTTTTAAAATCAGTGATTAACTCACCACAAACGGACCAATTAGCCGCGATCTCAATCCAGAAAGCCATAATTACTTCCTAACAAGCTTAATTATTAGGTGTGTAAAAACCGTAAATGATCAACTATTATGTATTTAAGTTTCCTTTCTAAAAATGAATTTTAAGAAAATTGCGTTCAAATTTGAATATATTTTATTTTTTTCCGATTAACCGATTACGGATTTTCTAACCGATTACCATCATTCCGACCGATTAATCGATTAACCGGTTACAAATTGCCATCCCTAATATATATATATATATATATATATATATATATATATATATATATATATATATATATATATATATATATTTAGTTTTAGCCCCCCCCCCCCCTCTTCCCCAAATGCTCTGACCTATATAAAACAAAAATTCTTAATTTTTCTTTCTAAATATACATTGTGTAGCACATTGAAAAATATTTTCTTGAATACGCCACCATTTTGAATCACATGTGATAAACATGATCTTCTCACCTGTTTAAATTTACATAGCCAATCATATTTCATCTAAGTAATTGAATATTTTGTTCATTCAAACCCATTTCCAAGTAAGGAAAGTGGTTTTATTAGACAAAATTTCCAATGGTCTACTAAAATAGCGATTTAGAAATATCACTTTTGTCACCCGGAATATTCCAGGGTCAGCTCACAGCACATGGCTTTGTTTACCAGGTTCAGCATTACCAGGGTTAATATGACTTAATCATCGTGGTTTTCCTGTTCTTGAAAAAAAGCTTTTAAATGATTCTTTTCCTGTGCATTCCTATGTAAAACTTTCATGACCCTATGTGACCCCAACCTACCCTGGTGGGCCATAACTCGAACAAACTTGAATCTACACTACCTGAGGATACTTTCATACAATGACCAATAATGGCTAAGATTTTTCCAATATATAACAATGTAAAATTTTGATCATTGTGGCCTCTCCCTATCCCTGGGGGGTCATGATTTGAATAAGCTTGAATCCACACTACCCGAAGATGCTTCGTTATAATTATGACCAATCTTGGTTTGCTGTTCTTGAGAAGATTTTTCCTATGTATTCCTATGTAAGAATTTGAGTGCCCATTGTGGCCCCACCTTACCTCAGAGGGTCATTAATTGAACAAACTTGAATCTACACTACCTGAGGATGCTTTCATATAACTTTGACCAATCATGGGTTTGCTTTTTCTTGAGAAGAAGATTTTTAAAGGGTTTTTCTATGTATTCCTATGTAAAACTTCGAGTGCCCATTGTGGCCCCACCCTACCCCATGGGGTTATGATTTGAGCAAATTTGAATCTACACTACCTGAGGATGTTTCCACATAAGTTTCATCTTTCCTGGCCCAGTTGATCTTGAGGAGATTTTTAAAAGATACCGATAATCTTTTATTGGTAATTATCTCTCCTTGAAAGAGTGTGAGGCCATTAATTTCATTAAACTTGAATCCCCTTTTTACCTAAGATTTCTTTTTGGCAAGTTGGGTTGAAATTTGCCAAGTTGAAGAAGTCAAACGATGAAATGTGAAAATATGGAAAAAGAACAGAAATACAGACGGATGGACAGCTAGACTGAAAGCTAGACAAACAGACGGACACCAGACCAACTGTGATCAGAGAAGCTAACTTGAGCCTTTGGCTCAGGTGAGGTAACAATAATGTTGTGCTTTGCATGCACTATGCCTAAACGCCATGTGTCAAACCCTGACTACTATTAAGGCAAAGTGCATGCAAAGCACAACACTATTATATAAATAGCAATTTATCAATATCAATGAACACAATGAATAAAGCATACCATTGATGCTATCTGTTACTTCAAAGACATCTCTGTGGATATCCACTCCCCTGGTTGAGTTGGTATTTTTATTTATTTCTTTCAGATCGATGCCTTTAAGTCTCTGGAGTAATGTTGTTTTCCCACTACCGGCACATCCGATTATCATCCCAGAGGCGTGGTACATCATGGTCTTCCCTTTCTTTAGATTTTCAATGAAAAGTTTCACAGATTTGTCTCCCCTCATTATTACCTGAATTGGTACACCGACTAAGAGACAAAAACTCTAGTATTATTATACTTAGACAAATTAGTCAAATTAGGATTATGTATATGTTTCATCTTAAAAAGAAATATATTAGAATTTTTTTTCTTGACGTTTAATTAACAAAATTTTGATAATAAATACAGTTGATCATTCAAACGTCTGCCAGTAATTCTTTTTAAAGAATTATGTTAGGTGTACTGAAAGTAGACCTACATTTTCTAAATACGGCTTCATGGAATGACTGGTCCTCCATTGTTGGGTGCGTGAAAATATCTTCCCCAAGTCTTTCTAACAACTCCTCTGTTTTCTCTGGCAATAACCAACAGCAAACTTCATCCTCTCTTCTTGGATAATTCCACGATCTACAGTACTCAGCAATGTTTTCTTTTTCTGCCCAAGTCAAGAAAATGTCAAGAAATTTTGAATTCTTTGAAAATTTCAGGAAACTGATATCTTTGAAGAGTTCAATGGAAAAACTGATCTCCGAATTATTGAATTTTAGAATTGGTTTGTATTTTTCTAAATCTGTAAGAGCGAATGGCTTTGTGACTTCCTTGGAATGAAAACTGTTGGCAACAGCATAATATTTGGTCATCCAGTTTCCTTCTTTCATGTTTATTTTGTAGGATTTGGAAAGAAGAAGGCACATCAGAAATATATATCCATCTACAAAATTAAAAAGAAATAGATAATCAAAGATGACAAGGATCATCTCAACGAATTTAATCCATAAAGAAAGCAAAGTCTTAAAGTAATCAGAGTACTGAAAGTACTACAGGATTGGGGCATGACAGTTTCAAGTGTTTAACATTCAAATAAACATATATTATAAATTGTACAAATTTCTCAACTATTGTGCAAGTGAATTGGTTAATCATATTAAGTAAGTACTACAAATGTATAATGTGCATTCCTTTTGATTAAAAATCTAGTAAAACAAATTTCGGAGTAAAAAGATTTGACATTTCGTGAACATAAGCATCTAAAATGCACACAGTCATGTAAACAATGGAAAATGGATAAACATTCGAAGTTGATGCCCTCAAATCCTAAGTAAGTTTGTGTGAAGCATAAACATCCAATGTTTATCTATTAGAAAGTCATGTAAGGTACCCAAATTATACATTTTTCTGCTAGTGACCTTCAATTTGTTCAAATGAATTTGAGGCAATAAATACAGGTTAGGGAATTCCTGGTAGACATTTTCTGCAAATGACATTGAATTTGCTAAAATGACTTTGGGTTAAGGTCAAGATACCAAATCATTTTATTCAATATAAGCTTCAAGTGTTTCCCCATTATGAAGTTATGGCCTGGGCATGATTGCACAGACATACAAATGGACAGCTAGACAGAGAAACGTATAAAGTGATCTTTATATTCCTCCCACACTTTGGTTAAAGACAAACCTACAGACAACAAGGCAGACAGGTAAATGGATGACCTACAAACTTTGACCAGAAAATTATCATTTTGACCTTTGGCACAGGTCACTAAAGGTTATTGTTATATAACTTTTTATACGATAAATAAAACAGTCAAATATTTAAAAAATATTCCATTTGCTATGGATATCAAATTCTGAAGAATTTTCAAAACCTACCCTCTATCCTGTGAATGTTGTCAAACAATGTATCTATATTCGTAAGATCATGTCTGCTGTGATCCTCAGAGCTGGTACACTTCCTACACAAGGGAACACCACACGGGGTACAGAACTGCTCCAGGGGACTTCTCGGATGCTTTTTACATTTGATGTCCTCCAGAGGGAGTCCTGTTAGAAGAATAAAGTTTTATATTGTAAATAATTAATAAATCTTGATTAATCATCACAAAGCAAAGGCTTTTTTAGTACTACTTCGCTGGAGTCCCAATATTAATGATATTGGAGTGGCAAAAATGTTTCGAGTCCAGACAATTTTTAGAAACAAATCTAGATACATGTATTCACATTTATAGAAAGACTTTATTTATTATGATAATATACCATGGTATACAAAGGGAAAAAAATTGGGGATAAAATTGTTGAATTGTGATCTAAAATGACTATGTAAGAGGATTTCTTGTTTCCAATATTGCCATTTTAGAAATATTATAACAAATACACATGAAATAAGACAAAAATCAATGTGCCAATGCTCATTAGTAACACCCTGCTCTGATGTGTATATATACGTTATCATGTGAATATGTACACAACTGTAATGGAAATTTGACATTGTATTCTTAGAAAAATGAATCCTACCAGATAGC